CCCCCCCCCCCCTTTTTTTTTTCCTCCCAAGAATGATAATACTTCGGATAAAAAATGTGATGGGTTATCAGAAATACAGTAGCACGAATTCGTACATCTGGGGAGAGGCGCTATTTGTATTTATTTATTTATTTATTTTTATTAATACGAGACTGCATGTCCTCAGATAATAGCTGCTGCATCTGCCCAGGTATCCGGCAGAGGTGTGGGGTATTTCTTCCAGAATGTTATTAAAGCAAATAGTTTGAATGCTTGCCAACAGAAAGTCAGATTTCCAAACCTCTCCCCTGTTTGCATAGCACTTGAAAATATTTACCTTTATGATTGTAATTGCTTTCCTAATATATATAAGCAATATATATTTTACCCTGCATGAGATGTAGGTAATCGGTTTATAAGCGGTGGTAATTTTAGAGCCATCTTCAAAATAATAGTCACGCTTAAGCGAACCTGAATTTTAGTCATCAGTGGTGTTTTTACTAAACGAGCAGGAAATCACTTTTTTTGTTTGCTTGCTTACTGCTTTCGGAAAGATACCTTCTCCTAAAATGTTTTCGAATGAGTTTCTCTAATTTTGTTCCTTTTGTTACGCTGAGATAAGGAAGAGATGAACGCACCTATTAAAAAAAAACAAACAAAAAACCCCACCTTTCTCTTTTAAGCCTTTGATAGATTCTCCTATTGACATTGTTTCATGTGTAGTGTGAAAATTTTTACTCTGGTGTTGAAACCCTTTTACCAACAGCTATTTTCCAAGTCTATCCTCTTTTATGTTTCGGGTGTTTCTTATGCAAACAGCTTTTATTTTAAATAAGCCTTAAGGTAACTTTCTAGAGGGCGAGGGAGAGAGCGAGTCAAACGAGTGTGATGACACGGGGAAGGCTGGGTATGTTTCCTCTTCAGCGCATGGAGATTTTTAGTGCCATTTCATGTTATTAAATGTACTACGATTAAAATGATCGAGCCCAAAGGAAGTGAACGCATTTCCTAATTCGCACCTATGTACTCGAACTGGTATTTGCTGCCTAGATTTTAAGAGTGCAAAAAAGAGTCTTTTAGCTCCTCTAACACCTTGATCTGATCATTGAATCTCAGCAATCATAAAGGCATCTCTGTGTTTATCTTCTGCGAAAGCCTGGAGGCAACGGGGGAGAATTATACCAACTAAGCACATATTTGGTTACAGTACTCCTTCAGAAATTAACCATGGCACACAAATGGAGGCGATCTTTAGCTTCGTCACTTGGATCCCAAACGTAGAGTGTGTTTATTGGCAACTTTATTATGGAAACTGTGCAGATCAACCAGATGCGTCTTCAACAGCGTGAGGAATAACGTCTGTAGAGATTCGGGGAAAAGTTTTAAGGATACGTCTGGAAAGGGCATTGGAACCCCAATAATTAACCTTATCTAAACATCCAAATGACAAATGCACAATAATCCTTGACGCAATTACAAGACAGCTACGTTTGGGCGTGGGGTAGGGGCAGGGAGAAGCGTGCAATACATCTCAGCTATCTTCTTGAAACAGTCTCGGTCCACGATCCGAAAAGGTTAAAATAATCTTAACTTTAATAACTATTAGCTTGTTTTCAGTCATCCCTAATGATGCATTTAGGTCTCCTCTAATCCCCGCCGCTTTCATCTTTAGCTTTTTACACCCTAAAATTAATTCCACCTAAAGTACATTTTTCATTTTGTACTGTACTAGCGACGTGCAAATAATTTACATCAGCGTTCATCAGGACTGTCCTGAAGTGATGGATCATTTTGTTGAGTTGCAGTAAAAGTGCAGAATGATCTATAATGATGTAATATATACATTAAAAGGGTGTCTGGATGATCAGAGTTTTGCTAAAAATGTAAAAGGGCTTTTTGATTGATAACAGGGTTGCTGTTTTTCTGCAAAGGCTGTCACAGGCTGACACAATGCTTGAGTTATTAGGGCAGAGAAGGGCAACCATAAATTTCCAACGTCAGGCAAAAACTCTCTTTATTGTCTATATGATGGATGGGCCTCCGTACTAGACACCAAATACTTCGTATCACCCTTAAATGGGAACACATTTTTCGTGGCCATAATTCATGTTTTTTAAATAGAAAGTTTGAAATGCCTGCCTATATTTCACAATCCTGACATATTTATGAATCACTCCCTGCATGCAAATATAATTATTTAAAGCACCGAGGTGACATATGGGTTAGAAATGTACCAAATGCTGTTAGCGGAGTGATTTTTTTTAATTCCCTAAATTGAACACCATAGAAAACTCTGCCTGTCTGTTCAGATCAATAAAGTCGAAGGTGAAGTTTTACTGATTTTGTCAGTGCCACATACAGATATTCGGTTTTGATTAGGTGAAGCTGACAAAAAGGGAGTCTTTTCGCAATTACCGTTAGGTTAATGAAAGAAACACTCATCTTTCTCCTGGCACCCCCACGCAGGCAGACGCGCTTTTTCCCCCCTCTCTTTTCGGGCGATGAACGCGCCGGAGGTAAATTTGACAGGCTTTTTTATTTTTAATTTTTTTTTTTCGAGTTTATTTTCCGTCCAGCAGCGCTCGTCTCGGAGGGAACCCCGGTCTCCGAGCGGCAGCGGGGGCTCCGCCGCCCCCAGGCCCGGCCGCCGCCGCTCTCTGCCCCTCTCCCCCTCATCCCTTCGCGGCGGCTGGAGACGAACCCGTCTCTGGCGGCGTTCGCCCCGAGCGGCTCCGGGGAAGCCACCCACCGCCTCTCCCCTCCGGGACCGCTTCCCCCACCCCCGCCGGTCGCCCGAAGCCCACCGGCAGAGCGGGGCAGGCGGCGGCCGGTCGCCGTCCCGGCGGCGGAGCTGCCCTCCCTGCCGGGCACGGCGCGACGTTACCTGCCGGCTTAAGGCGGCGGGCTGGGTTCGGGCACACCGAGCGGCGGCAGCGCGGATTAGGCAGCCGCTCCGCTGCTGGTTTGTTTTAGTTAATTACGGGGAAAACCACCCCCACCCTCGACGGCGGGGAGGCCCAAGCAGCAACGCCTGCAAAAGGACACGGAGCGGTACCGGTGCCGCCGGTGCCGCCGCCGCCCAGAGCCGCCGGGCAGCCCCGCGGCCGCCGACACTTCCGCCGGGGCGGGCGGAGCCGCCCGTCTCTCCGCTCCGCCCCGCCCGCCGGCTGCGCCCGCCCCCCGCCGCCGGGGTAGCCGAGAGGGAAGGGGGAGACGTGCCCGACCCCTTGTAAGTACCGCGGGAAAGCGCTGGAGCGGGTCGGTGCCCGCGAAGGGGTCGGTACCTGGCGGGTGGGACTCGCCGCCGTGGTCCCGTCCTTCTTCGCGGCGACCCCCGGGCACCGCAGCCCCGGGCACCGCGCTTTGACCGAGCTCCTTCTGCCTGGGGTGTGTGTGCCCGCACACCGGGAGCCGCTAGCTCAGCCCGAGGGTCTGGCCTGTAACGCGTACCCTTGTATTTATTTAATTGAAACTTAACGTTATTTTTAACAGAGCTCAAGCGATGAGCATCGAAACCGCTTATCTTGAATATTTTTTTTTCCCCTAGACTTGTGTGTAAATGTGTAAAATGTTTGCAGCAGTCCAAACTTACTATAGCAAGGCTGACTCTTTGCCCATAAAATGTTAAATCAACCATGACCAGACTCATTTTCCCATGTCAGCCAAGAGGACTCTGTAAATCAACACATTAGGGCTTCGGCGGGCAGGAGCTGCGTGTGCTTCATGCAAAATGGCCCTGACAGCCGCTCTCTGGGTGCTGGGGTTGTCAGCCTGTGGTGGCTGACTGTGACATTGTCATGTGGCAGTGGGAAGGAAACCTTGCAGGTAGAGCGCAAAAGCGTTGGCGATGCAATATGCAAGAGACTGAGGTACAGGGTTGTTCTACCTTGTGATGTGATTTGTGGTTTTAAGAGTCACAGGTGTTTTGCAAAGCCTACCCCACCACCTTGAGTTGCTTAGATGAGCCTGTGCCTCCTGGGAAGGCCTGGTTACACTTGTATGTGGGCAGAGATGTTCTGCAGGCACATCTCAAGATGGAACCCGCTTGGAAGCCTTACAGAAAGCTCATCCCAAGGTTAGGAAGGGGTGTGTGATAGCTATACCTGGATGCAAATGAGCACACTGGATAAATACAGCTGAGAAAGGATGGCCTTGGCCATAGGTGACCATGCAGAAACAACCAAGACAAATTCCCTTCTCTGTTCAAGGAGCAAGAAAAAAATATAATATCCTCCCCTCCTTCTCCCCCCAGCTCTAAACAATATACTGTATTCTGTAAAAAGCCTCAGCCAGCCCTTATCTAAACCACTATCTCTGGGTAAGGGTTCAGATACTGGAAAGCTTATTTCTTGGGTGCTAGCAGGTTGAAAGGAAAAGGAGACATAGTACAGCATGTAACAAAATAATATAATCCCTTACTACCACACAACCAATCCCAATAGTTATACGCATTGAATCAGATTAGATTCAGATATAAAGGTAGAGCTTTGTACGATATTTCATGAAAGGGGCCTCAGCATAGAGAAATCATTATCCAGTGCTCCTTGCTGGATTGCCTCCCACTCAGAGGAGTGACCCAGCTGTGACCCAGACTCTGAACACTTGTGTGTAAATTTAATTTTCAGCATTACATCATTTCAACCGGAATCTCACCTCTTTGCTCACTGTTGTGCTATGTGCCTTACCTGGAGGTAAAGAAAAAAAAAGGAGAGGAGGAAAATGTGCCAAATATTAGGAAATATAAGTTTAACTTAAAAGCATGCACATAGCCACTTCTACCCTGTCGTCTAGTGAGACAAAATGAGTGAGCCACCACAAGCTGAGAGGAAAAAAAAATAAATCACACAATAAGTTTAAAATCCTACAAGATGTCATAAAGAAGAGAGTTACTTATGAAGTGATGATACAAACTCTGCTTACACATTTTTCTGTGTTTAAAAAAAAAAAAGTCAGTAGGCATTAGTCAAACAAGTGCCTGTAGCATCATTTCTTCTTGGTTGCTACTTTCAATACCTGAAGAGGGGCTGAGCAGTGAAAACTTGTTCTTCAAAATTCAATGTATTTTCTTGTGTGGTCTTTGCATATTTGCTGTTTTCTCCAGCAAATTTTTGGAATATGAATTGTATGGAAATCAACACCACCACCACCACCAAAAGAGTTTCCCTGTGAGAATTACCTGTCTCAATGAAGATACATTTTTAAGGGAATGAAAACCAGTCCTCTTGTGAAGGCTGCCCATGCCCAAATTGTTAAAAGATTTGAAGCAGACTAAGAACAAGAAACAACCAAGCACACACCCTACTTCATCATATTCATTTTAGTATTTATTTTTCATTAAGTGAGCAGAGAATTAACCTTTGTTATTTGTTTCCCATAAAAAACCTTATTTCTTTCTTCTTTTTCTGTTTCATTCACAGAAAGTTCCTGTCCTCAATGGATGACAAACTAGGTGGAAGCATATGAGTGTGAAGAGCTTTTTTCCTGAGCAGCTTCATTCAGGTACTCCCAACTCTGATAAATGTACTACCTTTAGTGTCAGGAGCAGAGATTAAAGGCAACAGGAGCTTGGCCAAGGTCACAAGTCCTTACAGTAAATAAGCAGTCTGTTCAAGTAAACTTATTAAATTGTGGCCACAAAAGAACAGAGACTAGACAGAGTTAGCAACTCTTAAGTTGCAGTTCCAGGTTTACCATCAACAGCGTGCAACTTTATTGTGTGTCTCTAAATCTGTAAAATGGGGTCCTGATATTTAGTTGTCAATTACAAAGAATTTTAATGAGGATAAGATAGTAAATGATTTAATGCATTACCATGGCATGAAAATACAAGAACTTAACCTCATGTTCCCTATAGAAAAGCTCTGACATTGTGCGGTCTGTCTTGCTGTGTAATGGCATAGTCCAATCAAGAGGATCATCTCACTCCCATTTAGGATGCTGTGCTCTCTTGTCAGAACTAAGTACACTGGTGCTGCTGCAAATTCTATCGTTTGCATTACTCAGTGACCAGAAACAAACATGCTTCAAGGTTTCTCATTCCTCCACTGATTTTCAAATTCATGAAATGATGTAATACAATACATGCATGAAGTGATGACATATATTTAATCCTTTAAATTAGTAGTTGCCACAAGTTTCTATAATATTTGAAGTTAGCGTTCTTGGTTTTTTCTTTATATTTGTACAATATGGTGTTTTTATCTGTGACCTTGAAATCATGAATAATCTCTGTGCTAAGTATGACAAAGGAACAAATAGTATTATTATATAGCTTTGGTGGTCTTGTTTGAATGTTATTAATATACAAGGGTAAAATCAATTAGCAAAACACCATTTTTGAAATGTAATTTATTAACACTGTATAAGAGTATTTTTTGGTTGAATAGCTCTAAGACAGAGATAATATAATAGCTTTGTGGCTACTTCAGTTAGGGCTTGCATCTTCTCTCCGTGAACTGCAAGGCAAAATTTTCTCATTTACTTCTGTATGAACAGAATGGGGCTGTGGTAAGCACCTGGTTTGGTTCAGTAATCACACATTGGCTCATTCCCACATTTTTGTCACGATCTCAGTGGGAAAAAAACAAATTTAAGTAGGATGCCTTCATATGTATTATGGGCATTTAGTATAGAAGTATGTTAATAAGAAAGAGGAATGGTTGGACCCAAGTTATAACATCTAAGAAAACCTGTAAACACTACAACTGGATTTAGAAAGATGCTTCACGGTCCCTGGACTGTTGGTATCCATTTGTATCTGTTATTGTTAATAATAAATAATACTAAGTGATCAAAGGAGAAAAAATAAGAACCATATTTTTTTTGTTATTCATCATGAAAAGTACGTAGCATAGATAGGATTTTTCCAAAAGGTATTATTTCTAATTGCAGCACTCATGTAAACAACTGTGAATCTGTAATGAGTTCTTTACAGTGGAGGTAAAAGCTATTCTTGGGCAGAACTGCCTGCTTCTTTCAATATACCTCTTAAAATTATTTATGTAATAAAGACAGAAAAATTTTCCATGGGGTTCAGCTGAGGATGTGGAGATAAGCTGACCTTGATTTTTTGGGCCGACATTTAAAATTTCTGTGACTTGGGTGGCGTGAAAATTCCTGTTATGTGCAGCAGCAAAGGACACAATTAGTTCAGTCGAGTTCTGGGTGAGCAACCTGGTGTAACCGTGTTGAAAGGAAATACAGTTCTTTCCTGTGGCAGGACTGTAGTTCTATTTATATATTTATTCTGGAGTAATGCAAGCAATAACATTTTTACAGCGAACAGTAAATAATCATGGAATGCCAAAATACCCAACCCGGGGTGGTGTATATTTATGTTTGTAGTATATACACACACAAAGAATTACCTTTTCGAGAAGTGTCGGGCTAAAGATGGCTTGGTATCTTTTATACAGTCTTAGTCTTATCTTTTTACTGCATTTCTCTGGATAGATCCAAAGTTTATCAGTAATGCCCTTGTGTCTACCCAGAATGGCTAGGTATGCTTTCTTGTGGAATATTATGAAGTGTCTGAAGAAAAAAACCCAATCTGCAGCACCCACAGATTTCTCCAGTTACCTGTCCTCAGCGTGGGTCCTGGAATAACAATGGATCTGTTGCGCTGGGGACTTTCTAAGACCTTGTAAGGCAGGGTGAATTTCATCCTTATGAGATTAAGAACTGAAACAGACTCCCGAAGTACAGAAAAATTAATTTAACAGTTATAAAGACGTCAAATTGATGACACCAGAGAATGAAGTGCAGAATGTCCTCCTCTGCCTTGCCAGAATAATTAGAGAACAGTTCATTCATATCCTCTCTTGTTGATTCTGCAAAAATACCAGTTGCGTGACTGGACTTCTGCGATGGAGATGCCCACTAATTCATCTCACGGGTTACCTAACAGCTAGGGTGTCATAACATCTTTGGTACAGACTTCGATACAGCAGCCAGTGCCGACTGGCTCCATGTTTCATTTTCTAACTGTAAAGTTATTTGAGTTTTTTTACCTCTGTTCATATACTATGTAGCTGATTTTGATTCTTTGCCCTTTACTGCTAAAGATTGTTAGTTCACCTTTAAGTGACAAGTTCAGATATGAACTTCTTGACTTTTATCAGTTTAGGTCAAATCGTGAGCAGAGTTTTTTGGATTAAAAATTCTTCGTTTTCCATCCTTCCATTCCATATAAAAGAAAATTGCCTGAAGTTATCCACCATAATCTAATCTATGATATTCTGATATGTACTGTATACTATCAATGTTAACGTTTTAAAATCTTAAGTGAATATCTGCTATCACTGTTTAATACAAATAGCTCTGAATGATTATAAAAATATTTAATGCATAATGCATGTCACTCAGGTATTATTGTCAGTAATGGATGAGGAACAACGTTTGGATAATTTATAAAAGTAGACAAAAAACATTTTTCAGTAGTTAGTGTTTTCAGGGTGTTGGTTTCTGATAATAACATTTTGGTCATAATACCTTTTTAGCATAGCTTAAACGACTTTACTTATGCAAATTGGTGAACTAATTTGAGTGCTTTTATTCTACCGGAATCACTGAAAATGTCTTGCATTATAGAAATGTGTATAAAACCAGTTTAGCTCTTTTGCTTGCTTCAAGCGAAACAGTAAAACAGATCACATTCTTTCTCGGTTACGAATTAAAGGAGCCCACCCCTCACTCCTGTGTGTGACTGGGGAGGTGCCAAGGAGTTAGAGGGCAACCTTAAAGATAACTGGGTTTCCCCTAACCATGGGGAATCCTTAAATGGTGGAGTTTTATGGAGAGAACAAATATATCAAGTGAAGGAAGGAACATACCTCGGGCACATCGTGGGCTGCAGTGGGGCTGAACCTGGTGTGACTGCTCCTGTGAAGGGTGAACTGTCACACTGGGAGCTGGTAAAAAGCTTCTTCAGCTTCTACCATGACTTTGAGGTGTACCTGCCCTGTCGGTTTAAGATGATGTCAGGCTTTGGTGCCCCAGTTGTGTACACTGTTCGCTTTTAGGCTTCCACCTGTAACAAATAATTTCCTTCCTGCTAAGTGAAAGTTTTGGGGCCGATTTAGCAGGCAGTTCACTTCATCAGCTGCTGCATTGGGACAATATAGAACCATGCTGGGTTTCATTTCCTCTGCTTGTGTGAGGTATACCAATTATATCCAGAAGGCCTTGGAGATTCATGTGTCCCCTTAGTGCCATCAAACATGCACCACACATTTTATGTCTCATACCAGATTATATAAATCTGACTGCAATTCAGCCTTTAATTTTTTAGCCTTCTGACTTGCTTTTAACCAATGAATAAACAAAACTATGATGTTATAAGGGCACGTGGGTAAGAAATGAGACCTGAGGACATCGGGCCTGCTGGAGGTAGCCCAAGCCTATGCTGAGGAAAAGTTCCTCAGTAGCTTTTCTCAGTGACTTGGTAGCACCTCGACATGGCTGGTTCTGAACACAAGCAAGGAACTTGAAGGAGAAACCCTGAAAGCTATGTGACAAAAGAGAATAATGTCACTAGACCACTCATGTAGCTCTGCATAAGTACCTGTATTATGCTGAGCTGCACCGGATTTCTGATCGGAAGACCACCGCAGAACCATCTGGATTCCCTGACTGTTCACTTTGTGGCCTGATCTCTGTGCTAGGCTGGGAGAATGTAGAAGCTGAGCCTTCACAGTCTTCTAGGGAGAAAAGGAGAAGAAGGTACCATTTTCTGCTTGTCTCACATCTCCAGGGTAGCAGTGGGACAGAAATTCCAGGACGAGACAAGAGACCAGCTTGGGTAAGTGCCCTGATTTTATTATACCGTTTTGAAGTTGGGGAAGGAAGGAGAACATGGGCAGCTCTTAGGCAATGTATGCTATATGGCAGTGGACAACAAACCAGGAGTGCTCAAAGGCTAGAAATGGCTTCCAGAATCTTTTAACTCCCTTGTGACCCACAGTCAGGAGAAAACAATGGCCCCTTTAGCCAACAGTTTTGCAGACTTTGCTCATTGCTTACATAGTATTGACTCCCATAGATGACTATACACCAGCAGTGACACATCTTAGCTCACTAGCAGCCAAAAGCAATGTATACAATCCCAGCAAGCGGTGTTGTACGCTTGTCATCACTAGTGCACAGTGTGCTTACAACCTGAACTCACTCTGACAACCATCTGCGTGCAGCTGTTCGCATCTGTGTTCCACTAGCACCTTCCCCACCTGCATCAAATTTCGTAGCACCATTTTCAAAGTGGTGCCACACAGGCTGGGAAGTTAAATCCTGTCTATTCCTCTTGTGTATTCCTGAACATAACAACCACAGGTGGCAAGAATTCAGGTTATTAAGCTCTCCAGCATCCTTCGCTTTCCCCTCAGCTTTGTGTATTGATCATATTGCTGGCTCACTAAAGCATAAGGTTGCATTTCTCTTCTGATGCTGCTGCCCTAACTTGGAAAACCATGAGCCTCAGCACATTCCTGCAGTCCCTTCAGTAACGTGGACGGTCCATTCCCTCAGATGGGAATGTCACCAATTGCTTTTTCCTGGTGCATATTTTCTGGACATGATGCAGCCTCATTTGTAGCTTTTTGGATATGGTATTCACTTGGGAAAAGAGGGTGCTCATCTGTCCCAAGATAAAGCTGCTCAATATAACTGACTGCGCTATTATATGAACTATATAACTGTTCTGCACTATTTCTATAGTAGTCAGTGTAGGCCAGCAAGGCCGTAGGTTGGTGTCTCTTCTCATTCATGTAGTTAAGAGAGCCATATGGGAGCATTGTATTGGGTGAATGACAGTCTGCATGATCTTAGGAACCTGTAGCTGATAGACTGTACAGGGGTAGAAAACCAATGTCACAGACTTCTCTGCCATACTGATTTTCCCTCTTGAAGGAGCTGGGGCTGCCAGACACCACAGCATTATGGCCATCCTCTAGGTACCCTCTAATGGGTTTCTGGAACACTGGGAGCTGTCACTGATTAATTAGCTGATACATTAGGTCAGATTGCTTTTACACAGCATACCTGAGAGATCGTATTAGACACAAAGCATTGATTAAGTGATTACAATATATGCAGAGTACTAGAATGGCCTGTGGCTGGAGCTGGTAAGGGACAGTTGTGGAGCCAGTCTGGAGATCAGCCCATCTATATAAATAGGACTTGGAACTAGGGTTGTTTCCCTGACATAGGGACATTATAGATCTACTCTAAGGACCTGGCTCAGAACCTCAATGACAATCATAGTGACTCTAAGGTAAAAGAACATTAAGTACGTCAGGCACGGGAAAAAACAAAGTCCCAGAAAATAGGTTGCCTCTACAATCTTGGTTCTGTTGCTTAGTTCATGGGCACGATGACAGTCTCGATGATGACAGAACATGAAGAGCAAACTATCACCTCTGTGTCATCCCTGCCTCATTTGGTGCAAAATCTGCAACAGAGCGAATGCCAAGAGACCGCAGTTTGTTGCTGACCCCGCTGAGAGGAGTGGTAGTTAAAAACCAAGATAGCACAACAAGCAAAGTAGCCTATTTCTTCTTCACCCACACAGAACATGCAGAAGTCTGATACAAAATGAGAACCCTATAGTGGTTTCTGTATCAAGTTAGAGGTCTAAAAGCAAAAAAAGGATTATAATTTAAGGTAGTAATAGGAACACACTTCTAAAACAGCAAATTTTAAATCCTAGATATTAGTACTGCAAGCATGCAGAAAAATTATGCAGTTATGGGTACTAACATGGGTTACATTTAGGATGTTCACCCGGAAACACATTGGTTTACCATTTTATAATCAGTGACAGACTATAGTACCTCAGAAACATGATAAACAGGATGAACTTTCTCTATTCTGCGCAATAAAATCAGAATACAAAATGGAAATAAAATTATTTTCTGGTTTCATTAGACTGGCAAGTTTGCTAGAATTAACGTGATGTGATACTATACAGTTATGTCAATTGGACACCTTCATTTTTACTGCTCAAACAAGCATAAAGTGGCCTGCAGCTGATCTAAGGGAGCAGAAACCAAATGGTAAAAAGCTGAAGTTTAGTTGAAGATGTTTATTCTGGCTTGGGCGGTGGAGAGAGGCAAGCTTGGTATGGACTATTCTTCTGTGCCACTGTTTTCTCTTTGGTCTACAGCACCACAGCTTGTGGAAATTGTTGTAGAAATGTCTTGATCATACCTATTTACCTCTCTTCGAGAAGTTTGTGGAGCAATAGTTAGTTTGTCAAGAAAAGCTAAAAGTTCTGTTAAGCGCCCTAACTTTGGTCCATTAATTTTGCCTTTTATTTTTATATTTTCCACTCTACAAGAGGGAAAAGGCTTTTTATTTTCCATTACACACAGAGAAGCGATTGTCATTCTTGGGTTTTATCCCCATTCTTGAGCTGTATTAGCAAGACAGCTAACCTTTCAAGCTATCCTCAGTGTAACTAACTGTAAAATTGGGATATTAATGCCTAATTGAGATGGGTATAGTAGGGCTTAATTGATTAATATATGTAAAATGTCATGAAATTTGCAGGTGAATGACACTTTAGAAATGTTAGGTATGCCTTTCTTTATATTTTAAAATAACCAGTATAAATAGCACTAAGAACTTACCATTATGAACAATTTATATAAACACATTTACTTATAATCTTTCCACTGAAAGACAAATTATAATGCTGTACAGTGAATACAATTTGAAACAGTAAAAGTAGAAGGGGATTAACATGCATTTCTATTCACTAGAAGAAGATGAATGCTAATAAAATTTCCCTGTAGATAAAACTTTGAAAATATTATTTTCAATATGTCAGTTTATGGGCCCGTATGATGAAAAAGTATCAATTCATGTAAGCAGTCATTAAGCTTAAAATAGAACCTCTAAAATCTTTCAGTGGACTTATCAAGTCTTCTTTTTCCTCACTTAGCTGTTGTTGATGACTGTTTTGGTCTTTGCTTTTCTGCTTAAACAGAACAATTTTTAATTAGTGCTATAAAACAGACACCCTCAAACTTTTCAGGTAATGAAAGATTTTTTCAGACCTGTGTTGGTTTTATAACTAGAATTTCTTTCTGTTTGTGACAGTGTGAACGGTTCTGCAGCTTCGTTAACATACGCATTTTTTGATAATGAAAAATTAACAGTAGGGAAGAGCTGAATTTAGTATCTTGCTGTCCTTTCATGTGATTTAATATATGGAATAAGCAGAAATACTGTCCATAATGTTTTTTCAACCTTTTTTTTTTTTTTTTTTTAAAGTCAGACTGGTACTAAATCAAAGTACTTGTACTAAGATCAAAGAAAGAGGAGAAAAGTGTCCAAGTTAGCCATTAGGTCCAAGGTGATCAGGACTTTCCACAGGAGGCTCCACTTGCTGTACCCAGGCAGCTGTATCTGAAGTGCCTGTGAAACTGCATTTTGAGCTCCCCTGGCTTCAGTGCCGTGTCTGGGGTGCCAGGGCGCCAGGCAGCTGGGTGAAATCTTTCCTGGCTGTGTGTCTCCAGTAACAGGAGAACCAGAGTGCACGTTCTCAAGAGAAGAAAATGAAGTTTGAACTCCTAAAAGGCTTAGTAAATTATCTATCTAGATTTTAATAGGAGGTTAATGAATTGACATAAGGTTAAACAAGCCAACAGACACTGCTTGTAGCCATCCACGACCGCTACTGCATAACCTCACCTTCAACACATGGTTCTCAGGCTATAAAATTTTGAAGATTCTCTTAATTACTGGTTAGTAGTGCTTTGAAAACTATTTGCAAACAGAACCTTCTTGTAAAGTACAGCCTAATAGTTCTTTCTTTCTTTTTCTTCTTGTTTTAGTATGGAAGTCTAAGACAGCTAACAAACTGGGAAAAGATGCTTGAAGTTTGGCTGGCTAATCTGGATATTTCTATCCCTTCATCATGAGAATTTACTCTACATATTTCTCAAGAGTTTTGTGCTGAGAATAAAGTAGTTTTTGTTGGTTACTGCCAACAAAATTGAGCTCTAAGAGCTCAATTTCTAAAGTAGTGTTTTATTCCTCTGTCCTGTAGTCCTGATCCATGATGATATTTGTTATGACAGTTTCCTTTTTGCTGGGTCCTGTCACATAAATTGAGTTACTCCACCAAAAATAAAGTTGTTTGTTTGTTTGCTTGTTTGTTTTCTCAGAGAGAGAGGACAACACTTAATTTGCAACAGTTTCATGAATAATAATATTTTAAACTTCCTGAACCTTTTTCCTTTGGCTTGGTATGAAGTCTATTGTAATATTGCTGTGACTGAATTTTAAAAACACAGCATCATCTGAGACACTAAGTCTCTTTTAGCCTTCACTTTTTATTACAGAATTCAGCCAACCCTGTTTCAGCAAGGTACAGAACCTTCAGTAAGTGACCCAAATGTAGCATGGTAATCCAACTCACTACATAATCACATGAACTATTATGTCACTCGGATACACTGGTATAACTGTTACTACAAAGAAATCCCAAACCAGAACCCTGTGGTGTCTTTTGATTTTGGCAAGTGAATGGTATTGAAATACGGTACACTGTCAGCTTTGAAATTAAAGATCTTACACCATCGCAGTGTGACTCATGCTCTCTCAGTTCTGATTTGGAGACATGGCCTGGGGGAGTTTGAAGTGGTTTTATTCTCTGATGCCCATTCAATCATTAATTTTTTTTTTTGCAAATATGCCGAGTCTGGTATCTGTTTCTATGTTGATTTTGTAATGTGGATATCTCTCTGCTGGGACTGAAATATTTTGTTCCTAATTAGTCATATATGTTATTGTCCTGGTTTGAGGTAAAACAGAACCAATTTTCTGTTCAGTAATTTTACTTTTTAGCTAAGCCTCTTCTAACTAAACTCTAACTTCTAAACTTCTAACTAACTAAACTCTCTGAAAATTAACAGCATATTGTGCAGAAACTGTTTGCTCTTGGAGTGATAAGACCTATGTTTATAATTTATGCCAAAGGATGATATGCAGCAAGGCTCTTGCTTATGCTTATTGCTATAACAGCCAAGGTCAGGTAACTTTGTTATTTGTTCTGTTAGAGGGTTGAAAGCAGAAGAGTGTAGAGGGGTCGCACCGGTAGGGAGGAGCAGACAGGACAGGGGCCCCAAAACTGACCGATAGGGTATTCCATCCCATTTGCATCATGCCCAGTGTAAAAGCTGAAGGGTCAAAGGGTCAGCTCTCTTTCTTCAGTGGTGAGTGTCTGGGGAAGACTATGTCTGTCTTTGATCCTGATCTGTGCATTCCTGACTCCAGATCCGGAATCCAGTTCCTGTCTGTTCCTGAGTCCAGTCTGGGACTTCCCCAGTGCCTGCCAGTTGCGCGATTGTCATCCTGGAAGCTTGATATGGTTTTGTATACATTTTATGTATTTCCTTATTTTATATCTATTATCTTATTAATATTTTCATTAAAGTAGTTTAGTTTCTTCTGTAACTCATAGGTCTCTTTCTCCCTCCTTTCCATCTGCCATTCATCTCAGTGGCCAGTCTGGCTCAAACCTTGACAGTTGTCCAACACCATCAGCTGCAAGTAGCTTTACTCATCTGATTGGGATTCCAGAAAGAAACCTAAGCATGGGAAGCTTTATATTATAGTGTTAACAGTCCATCTTCATCTTTTGTTGGCAGCAGCAATTAATTATCTGAAGCTGTGAACTGTTCTCTTGTGATTGTGGAAATGATCCCAAGTGTGATGGCCAAATATCAGCACATTTTGGGTACTTTTCTACGTATGGAGTCAAAATTGGATTCCAAAATTAAGACAAGAATTTTCCTAAGTTTAGCATTGGTCTGACTCTAATCATCTCTGCAGTATAAACAGGAAGTTTACTTGTTTTCAGTCTGCTATTTCTTTTGTGTTTCTCACCAAAAGAAGGCTTATCAAAATATTATTATTTACTTTTTATTTGGACAGATGGCTTGGAGACTAAAACATAACCTACAGCTGATGGAATACCACTCTGTTCTCAATGGATGAAGCATTACATTGGCTCAGCTTCTTTCTTTCTTTTCACTTTTCCACTTGGATAGGGAGAACAGTCTAGAACAGGTTTTTGTAAAGAAGGAGTGGGATAGCGTTTGGAGAGTTATAATAAATCTAATTGTAATATCACAGGACTGTTTGACTCACAAGTTGGATTTTTTTCCCTGTATTTCCTGTTTCCATTAGTGTCAGTTTCTTGTTAAAGAGCAGTTCCTGCAGAAAATACCAACTGCACTGGGCTCCTTTGTTCTTCCACTAGCTTACACATGATTTTCCAGTCATGATTTGAAGAACTGAACATTGTGTGACTGAGTTATTCTAGATGCAGGTCTGGAGAACTTAGGACAAAGATGCCTTGGAGGACCAGCAGGTACTATAGAATCTACAGTCTACCATTCTTTCTGCTTCATTTTTCCTAGAATAGGGGATTATGCGTGTTATTGGATTTAAAGGATTTCTAAGTTTGTATATTATATCTCTGTATTAATTGACAATGTATTGCTTGCAGAGACTGTACCTCTGTAACTTTCAGCTTTTGCCTCTTGCATCATGTGTGTGCGTGTTCTTTTCCTAGTGATGTTTCCAGATGATGCAGAATTAATACTAGCTGAGCTATATTTATCCCTCCTCGCCCAGAAGGATGGGTGGATGAAAGTAGTGAGTAATGGGAAAAGTTGCTGCTTAACAAACTGCAGAGGATGGTGGCTTTTGTTTGAGCTCTGTTCTTTCATAGCCATCCAAATTTTTTAGCAACTTTCATACATTTCTGTGGGAATCTTTGGTACTTACAAGGTATAATAAAGCATAGCATCTGGCTTTAGAATTGAACAGTAGGGAAATAAAACTTTTGCTCCTTAAAATACAGAAGTTATTCCATACTGAACTGTACTATGTTGAGCTCTGATTGTACCATATGCCTGCTTACTGCTCTCTTCTCAGCAGCAGTATCACCTATCTGTTATCTGCGTGGAAGGTTGTGGTTTTGCTCTTTGGAAGGTATGACCAGCCAGTATAACCAGCTCAGAGATGTAAGATTAAAAAGTGGGGCCATGAGAAGCAGGGAAGGAACCTGTTTGCTAATGTCAGATATTCCCACACCTTGTCTTGAACTCCTTCCTGATCATACAATTTTCTGTTGGGGTAAAGTCACCTGTCTTTAAGGATGCAGGGTCTTATGGACATAGGACCCCTTCCAACATCTATTTTCAATAGTATATGCCTATTTATATATAGGTCTCCCTTATTATGCAGTGTTGTCAGCAAAATAAAATGCAGATTGTGCCTTCTTGGATTAATCAGGTGACATAGTTCCTTCTGCAAAAAAGCCTCCATGAAACACCTCTGGCTGGTCTGGCATTTCAGTTCTACAGTGAACTGCCAAACCAGCTAAAACAGGAGAGATCAGCTCAGCTACAAGCTCCTCTGGCCTCTGCAGCCACTTCCTTTGTTGTTTGATCTTTGTATTCAAGAATTTCCTGCAATAATTTTGTTTTGTCTTTGTGTGACAGACAATTGCTGCTCCAGACACTGCGACAGAGGCCTGGAACAAGAAAATACCTCGCTGAACTTCTAAAATCTCAAATCTATCATTTAGAATAGAACTACAATGTTGGATGGCCTCAAATTAGACTTTATCCTAGCTGTAAGCCTTTTGCAATTTACTTTCCCACGATAATGCAGCCAACCAACCTGAAATTCCCATATACGTAATGGATTGTAAGGAAGTGTAGCACTTTGGGTTTGTTGTGAGTCAGTCATTTTAGGCTTCAAAAAAAAATAAATCTCTGTGTATATGTGCAACATATAATTATAGGAGAAGAGGAAGCAATGGCTTCCATACAAAGATTACTGAATTCTTTCAAATTAAAAAATTCTTATGATCTTTTATTAGATGTTCTGTGCCTCCATGGGTAGCAACAGGCCTTTGAAACTTCTCAGGAGGATAATCCTGGCATCCTTTTTGTTGGCTTTGTGAAAAAACATTTAGATTGCATGAATTATAAACTATTGAAGAATGCCATTTCTTGTCTTTGGTCTGTGCTATACATTTAGTTTTAGCAACAGGTCAAAATCCTGCAATAATCTACAGAGCTTGTGGGTGCCCTGTGTCAGCATCTTTCTTCAGTGTGCTACATACTCTGGGTGGGACACACAGACAATCATAGTGACCCTTCAACTTGGAATATTCTTTTGTCACAAGTGTTGTCCACTGGGAGTAAAGAATTGACGGTTCTACAGTTGTTTCTTTTCCTGACTGGTAATAACAATTTTATATTATACAATACCTGCTGTGCATTTACATAGACTAGGATAAACCAAGACAGAGCATTGCCTACAGCTGGGGTATCAGCCTAGGTCTTGGGAGATGTAGGTTCAGTTCCCTAGCTGGCCACAGATAATAAGCGTTGTTATACAAATTAGCCTTCCTGTGCCTCAGTTTCTTTTCTGTAGGATAGGAAGAAGAGGATTTTTCTATGTTCCTGGCATAGGGTGAGACTAAATGCATTAAAAACTGCTAGGTGCTCTGGTAACGTAGTGCACAAAGAACTTTGTGATATTTCACTTGGTTGTGTTAAATTTACTTAGATCTGTTCATTATATAGTCTAAAGACAACAGACTCCTGTACATTAAGGAAAAAAACCCAACAACCAAACCCAACCCTGTACCATAACATGTATTATGAGAAGGCAGAATTAAATTGCACAATTTATTGTTGCTATGTCTTAGTTATTGAGAGCGTCACTAATTAAATGTAATTCTAGCCTAATGCTATAGTGTGCTGTATAATGTAACTTAGGGGATTTTTCATTGTATTCAGGCCATACCATGGTCGACAAAACTGTCATTAACTTCAGTGGAAACCAGATGAGATTGCTGCATAAAAATTTCAGGAAAGTTTTTTTTTCCTTCTGTCATCAAAGCTTTTAGGTTGTTCTGGTTTTTGAAAACTCTTAGCTCATAATATATTGCATTATAAAGCCTGTACAAAAACTTTAAAGAATGCTAACAAGGTTAGAAAGTGAAGCTTTCCAAAGACATCAGAAAATGCTGAACTTCAAGGTGCCTTTGCAATAAAACAGTGAGAGAACTTATGTCAAAACTGTGCTCATTCACAATCGCCGTGTAGCCTTACTGTGCTCATCCCACACTGCTGCCATGTAATAGGAAAATAATAATTAAATGTATCCCAGAGGTGGTTTTAGACATAATTCTGCTTTGCTTGGGGACAGGGGAGGAATCAAAGAGCCAAAATGCAAGAGGCTTTCTTAGGACATGTATCAGATTGGACACTGTGCTTCTGTGTTGCAGGAAAGGATAAAAAAGCAATAACCCTAGGCAAAAGTAAAAATATTAGCTCTTCTTTCTCTTGTAAGAGTCTCCACAAGGAAGGAAAATGTAAATCAAGGCCATTAGTTAACAGCAGAAAACTCAAAGCAAACTGAGACGTATTATATGAGCCCATGGTGATATGGAATAACCAATTTTCAGTGGCTACTTTTCTGGACAAATGTGTCTTGCAGAGTTTCAAACACACATAAGTGTGGGCATACACTTCCGGAAAAAAAAATGACTCTACTGTCATTTGACAAATGTGTCTTGCAGAGTTTCAAACACATATAAGTGTGGGCATACACTTCTGGAAAAAAAAATGACTCTAATGTCATAATTCAGCAGCAGAAAGAAAAAAAAAAAAAGAAATAATTTGGATGTTCATATCTTCAAGTTTTGTAGCACTATATCACACTGTCATACTAATACAGTTCAAAAAAAGGTTTACTGAGGGTACACGCAAAACTTGCTTTTCAGATCCCTTCAATTTATAAATTGTTGGCTGTTAAATGTCTTTGTAAGTGGGAATATAAGAAATAGGTTGGAAATAGAAGAGAAACTTAGTTTCCAGCAGTTCACCTTCTGAATGGCAAATGATATCATCATTGCTGCATTTCTTTCTGTCTTTGTCAATAAGATTAAACTACATACTTTGTTGCATTTTATCTTCTTTCCATCATGTTTATTTTTTTCCTCTGTGTTTCACAGCAGAGAGTCCTAGTGATACTATTTCCGTGGAGACATCTGAAGTTATTAGTTTGGACATTAAACACCATCTTTAACTGTTTGCGATTAAAAACAGGTGTAAGTAAAGCTGTGTTATGAGTAAAAGGTTCCTCTGGTAATACAGACAAAATGTCTGTACTACAGTCAATCTCTTACAGCTAAATTGATTCAGTTTGTATTAAGCGTCGTATTGCTGTGGATACTTATCAACAAAGATTTTACAACAGCATTTTCATTGTGAACATCAGCCAAATGAATTACATGGGTGAACTCTGAGCCAAATTTACTGATGGTCAAGGTGAGAGAATTCTGTGACTTGGCTGGGATTTTTTTGCTTCTGAAATATTTTGTTTCAGAAAATTCAGTTTGTTCAAGCTCACTATTTTGTTAGGAGAAATAATATATATATTTTTAAGAAGACAATAAGTTGTTGTTTGTCTTACTCTGAAATGTAAGGGGATTGTGTTCAAGCACGTGCAGATGTACATACCTGGTGTGCTATAAACTGGAAAACAGATAATTTTTTTTTCTCAGTCTAAAATATTTTCATAACTTTCAGTTAATAAAACATTCAGGATTGCTGCTTTTTCCTCTTCTAAACCTTCAGTGTTCTTTTAAGATAGGAAAACAAATGTATACATAGTTTTTATATAAAATTATATAACTCATTTGGTGCTTGCTGCTATGCCAAATTTACTGGCATGTATTAGCTAATAGTTTTAATCAGTTGATCAATGAGATTTCATAATTATAGCTGTGTATACATTTCAGGCTAATGACTGCTAAAATGACTTAAAGCACTGTTATTATGTGAAGAACTTAGAAAAAAAGGACAGATCTGACAGGTATCTACCATGGTGCCAGTACACGGTGTCCCCATTACTTGGGGCTGCTCTATGGTTATTATCTTATTTTGAACATCTAATGCTCTTTATTCAAAGGACGAGTCTGCTCAATTTATAACATATATCTGTGAATATGAAAAAAATATATAGTAAGCATATTAGTAACTCATCGTAGCTATGCACAAGAAAACTTAATTTAGGGTTTGTTTTTTTTTTTTTAATGTTGGTTTTGTCTGTCAACTCATACATGTAAGTCATGTATCAAGCAGTTTTGGAAATATTTTTTTAAACTCTAAGGGAATCATATTTGAATGGCCCATACAGAAGTGCTACCTTCTGCTTCTATTTGTGCAATGAAACTGATAATTTAAATAAGCAAGTGATTTTTATATTTCGTGTGTACGTACACTGTAAAAACACATTTCAAAGACCAGCTAAGCCCCACTGTCATATAAATTATTTCTACCTGTACAAAGAATCTTCACAAAACTTTCAGCTTCTAATCAGCCACCAATGGAAATATATTCTATAAGTACAAAGTCAGTTCTCTAAAGCTTTACTCAAATAGGCAGCTCTATCAAAGCTAAAGAAAACATTCAGATGATTCGGGTTGTGCAGGGCCAGGACTCAAGGCGGCGGTGTTTTGGGGTGCTCAGAAGAATAAATATATATTGTAAGGAGAAAACAGTCTAAAACCAGAGGCAACCCCACAATCATTTGGAATCTGTGCTATAAAGTGACACTGATGATCAGCAGGCTCAAAAGCTAAAAAAGCCCCCCCTGTATTTATATAGCACTGTAATGTATTTTAGCTTCATAATAACATGAGGCACAAACTAATGAGCACGTTGACTCATAGGTTTGAAATCTGAGACAATGTTATAACTTCGTTACAATTTCAGATTAGATGTTACAAAATACTCCTGCAGTGGTAAGACAGTTGCAGCTGTGAGTTTTCATTCCTTTGGAAAATGAGGTGCAGGTGATGGGTGTTTAGAAATTAAGGAATGAAACAGAGACTCCGAAAAACCAGAGTTTGAGAAATTTGCCAATCATCCTGTAGGAAACTGGCAGCAGAATTAGGACTTTCAAGAGGCAAAGTTTTCAATGTGTAGGGAAGCATCATAACAAGACAGTCATCGCTCTTCTCCACTCTTCTGTTCTAGAGAGTTTTGTTTTTCTCTTCCTGTACAGTATAATAGGCCCATTTTGTCACTGCGGTCGGCAGCACTCCCTGTTTGTTACACACCACGGGATTTGGAGCTATTATTTTATCCATGGCAGATAATAATCTAGGCCGTGTCTGTACAAGAAAACGTTGAACCGGTTTCAAAAGACTGATTATAAGCCAGATGCACTTAAAACAGTTTGCCCCCTCCTTAAGTTGTTTTTGTAATTTACAAAATTCAGCTCAACTGATTGAAGAGATGATAAAGTCAATTTAAGTCACCCAGTTTAGGGAGCTGCACCTGCAACTTTTCCCTCTAGACAAGGTCTTGCCTAGTAAGTAGGAGGATCAATGGCAGGTTAATGCAATTGGCAATGTAAGAAGCTGGAAAAAAACACACTTCTTATTGTTTGTGTGTGCTATTTTGTAAACTGTTCAGGCAGGAATTTTTTCTTCGTAGATTTCTCGAAAGTGACAGCTAACACTCTGCTAAAATTAATACTAATAATATAGATAATGACGTGCTAAATTGTTTTCAATATAGTTATTCCAATTTTACAGGAGTGTAGTATTGAACTGAATTTACTCCATGAAGATAGATACAGCTAACTCTAGGGGTGGGCCACTTTGTGCCTGGAGCTCTCTGTGTTTGTGCTGATGGGAACCGCATGCTCGTAAGAAGAGATAAAAAGAGGTAGATGCAGAAAGAGGAGAATGTATTGCTTTGTTTAAATTTACAGTTCACATAGTGCTTGTTTTCCTTGGCGTATGATATTTGCTACATAATCTAATAAATAAATAAAAGCACTGATTGTTTGAAGCATGCTGAGTGATGACCTGAACTAGCAAGTATGCCTTGATGGAGAACTCTTACTTAGAGAAACAGAACTTTTATTCATCAGTGTAGGATCAGCTTATTTGCTGCGGATGAAGGGTTTGATTCTTCTCTGTCTTGTGTGATACAAGGAAAATTAGGTCCGTGCAAAGCAATGGGGTGGTTTGTTCATTGACTGTGTTTTGATTTTTCTACGTGTTGGCCCATTTCTGTTTTTAACACAATAGAGTAAAATAACAGGGAGGAAAAAGCGGTACAAAATGTTTTTTTTGCTCAGCTATTTGCTCTGTGTTTCCCTGTACCAAGAATTTATTCTCTTGGTATTAAGAGGCAGAGCAGCAAGTACAGCATGAGTTTCTGCTGTGCTGCTGAATCAACTGTAGAAAGTGGTTTGCGGCGTAGAATGTGTGTCCTCCTGAACCTTATTTCCCCTCACAGCATGTGCCTCTGCTTTCAGCAAGAGTGAGTTGTGCTATATTAGCAATAAAGGGGAAAGAAGAGCCAGATTTTTAAAGGTGCTTAGGCAGCTGAAGAGGTAGGTAGATGACTAATAGGATTTAGGATCCAAGACTGGGAAACCTAAGTACCTTTGAAACTCTCACATAAAATTCTTACAGAAAACCTTCAATTTCCCTACTCTGCCTCACCAGCGATAACCTGCCATCGTGCCATTACTTTAATTAGCAAGTTCTCATGCCCTGGAAAGACTAGTTTGACAGGTGTTTCTGATTATTCCACAGGTATTTCCGTTTTCTGCACAAACGACCCAATACTCTGGAGGCAAAAGCTATCACTGTGGGGATGGGGACCTCTCCTGTAGATTACTTCTGCATGTGTGACGTGCATCTCTCCAAAGGCAAGTTATGCTTTTCGTCATGAATAAATGGGCTGCTCAGTAGGTGGAAAGCCACTCCGGGTCACCCTCCAAGTCACGTAGCTCCTGTGGGGAGTGAAATCCAAACCCCAATCCCCAGTCACCGATCAACTATTCCCATTATTTCTTCCCAGCGCCTCTTCCACCCCCGTCCCAACCCGAGGTGCGTGGGTCCGTGGCCGTCGGGCCTTCGCTGCGGGGACGGTCCGGCTGGGGCCTGCGGGGACAGACCCTCACCCCTCTCCCCCCTCACCCCCCCTCCTCCCGGGAAGCCTCAGGGCCACCATCCCGGCGGCCGGACCCCCACCCCCGGGGCCGCAGGTGACGGCGGGAGCCCCGCGCTGCCACCGCCCCCGCCCGCGGCCCGGCCGCGCTTCCGCCCGCGTCAGCTGACTGCCGCGAGGAAGCGGCGGCGGCGGCCCCAGCCCGGCACGGCACGGCCCGACCCGACCCGACCCGGAGCCCGCGGAAGCCCCGCCGCCCCCCCGCCATGGCAGGAGTCGTGGTGAGCGGAGCGCAAGTAAGTGTCCGCGTCCCGCCGCTCGCAGGGCCCGGGCGGCGACGGCCACACCTGCCGGAGGCAGCGCGTCCCCGCCCCCGGTAGCGGCTGCCCCGACTCCCCGCCGGTCACGGTGGGGACCGGGGGAGGCTCCCGCGGGGGTGGGGGGGGCGACGGGCTGGTAAGGGCCCGGGGAGTTTTAGTTTCCATCCGCAGGTAGGCACCGCGCCGCGGAACGGTGCTGCGCGGGGGCCGGGCAGGGAAAGAGCCGAGGGGCCGGCCCTGGCCCCGGCAGCGGCGGGGCGGGCGAGGGGGGGAAGGCGGGGCGGCCGTCGGGGGTGTGCGCTGGCAGGGCTCCTCCGTACCGGGTAGGTAACGGAGCACCGCGGTGACTGGCGACCGGGAATTGTCGCTGCCGCTCAGGCGCAACAGGCGGGGTCCCTGGGAAGGCTGCATCCGGACACGGAGCCAGGCGTGCCCCCGAGCCACCCCCGGCTACCCCGGGACCCTGCCCCGCTCAGGGTTGAGTGGGCTGCGGGCATCAGCTGGAAGAGAAGGACTGAAATAGCTGTTCCTGGAAGAGAAGGACTGAAATGGTTGTTCCTGCTGAAAGTAAAAGCGGTGTTTCCTTTCGGTTAGAGGGAAAAGTTGGGAAGTGAAACAAATCCTAGTGGCCTTTACCCAGTGCCTTACTTGGCTGCTGGAAAACGTTTTAGCTAAAGTGTGATATCACTACTGCTGAACCCGTGACTAAAACTAGCAAAATGTTCCTTCCCCCCACAAAAAGAGTAAACAAAGCTTGTGTTCTTTTTGAAAATGGCTTGCCATGAAGCCAGGGTGCTCCCCATCTAATTGCTTCTTTAAGCTGGTTGCACTTTTTGTGGGGAATTTGTAAATGTGTGTGTGATACGGAGGCAATTGGCTAATTTTGCAGCTGCTGCAGGAAATGGCTCCTGTGGTCTCTGTGGTGCACTATGGCATTGAGTAACATGCTGCCTTCTTCCCTTGAGCGTGCCTTGAGCCCTCTCAAGTCAAGTGTATTCTTAATTTGGGTATGGGCCTAACATACAATCTTTTAAGAGCATTGAGTAAAATATAATGCTCAACCGACTGGAAATATTGTCCAGATGTAATTCCCTTCAATGGAAAAGAATATGCGCTATCTAGAGTTCGTACATGACCTATTTGGTGATGGTCTTTATTAAAGATGTGACTTTATGAGTTACTAAGATTACAGTATCATTGTTAAATGATTGCAGATGCTAATGTTCTCTGAAACTACAGCAGAAGAAAGGTGCAACTGCTATTGACTGGTTAACTTCTGTTTTAAATATTTCATAAAAACATATTTTTTTCCTGAATTACATACAGTGTATTGAGTCTGCAAGAGTCTGCAAGAATGTCTGAGACGTCCGTAGACAATCTGATGCTGGGCTTTGTGGGAAACTCTGAACGTTTCAGTGGGATATTGAGCAGGGCACCAGTAATAAGAATCATTGTCTGTGACCAACCTGTATTAGATTTGAGTTGGAGAATTAAGCAATGGAAACATCTACATCCAGTTTTTATTCTCACGTGATGTTCTGTGACTGGTAGAGAAAAATCTAAGAAATCTCCTGTTACTGATGTGCCTTGCACTCGGAGAGCTGAGGAGTCTTGGGAAAAGAATGCTTGCTCTCATCTTCAGTGATGACATCTCTGGATATGTACTTGAAAGCCCGTACTCATTTTGAGGGTATTTGAGATGGATGCAAAAGGAAGAATACTATGTGTATTTTATTGTTTTCTGGGTAAATGGTTTTGAACTGAAGGAATGAAAATGAAGAAATGTTTTTCATCTGTTGTCCGGGCTACTGGAGTCTTGTTTTGTATCAGCATTATTCCAGGATTAAAGAGCAGAAGAATGGGGAACTAGCTCTTGAAAACTTCTTCAAAAAGGCTTATCATGTGCTGTGTTGTTGGTTGCTGCCGTTCTTACAGTAGAGAGTCCTTGGGTATCCAAAGCAAGTTCATGTCTGTGGGGTACAGAGATCTCAAGTTGAATGCACTTTGTGTATTTTGTGGAAAAATAAACCCATTTGTTTGAAATTGAAAAAGGTGCTTGTATGGTGAGTGTGCTGAAGTGGGCTTTGTGAAAGTGAAATTCCCTTTACAGGGCCTCAGTCATAACAACCATATTTTGTCAACAAATATGCCCGTGAATAATGTTTGTACCAGTTATGCAAATATATTTGTATATAACAGTTCAAAGGCTGAAGCTTTTATGTATTTTGCCTCCTGTGTGCTTCAAAACGCATTTGTATGAACTTTTTTCTTCAACTTTTGTTCTTGTGGAGCTGGAGCATTTATGGCCAGGTAAGTTTCTGAAGCAGCAGGAATGCAGCCTAGAGCTCCTTGCTCCTTTTTGCCCGCTCCTCCCTGGCTGAAAGCAAAGGGGTGGTCTCTGCTCTGGCTGCGTTTGTAGTTGCTCAAGGTGATCTTGCTCTCCTAGTGTTAATAGGCATCATGTTTTAGTAATTTCTATTTAATCATGTTACATTGAATTAAACGCTTAATCCAAAGGGTTATTCTGCTGTTGATGTGGTGTCTTTCCAAAAGTTTGCAAGCGTTAGTTTAAAGAAATCTACCGTTCTGTGAAGAATGAAGCAGTTCTTGTACGCGCTCCTGCATGTGTGTTGTAAAGTGCGTTGTAGTTGTCTTGGATGAAAACTGGAGGGAAAAGCCTTACATATTTAATTCAATAAATTCTGCAAAATGGTTTCTATTATCTCCAAACCATTACGATGCCAACTACCCAAAACAATTCCTTTCCCTTTTGTCCTTATATTTGCTAAAGCCACCTGCGTGTCTGGTAGCAGGATTTATTGTAAGAGGTTTAACAAGAGAAAGAAGTTGTTAAAGTGAGCTTCAAGCTACCTGTTTTCCACTCGTAAAAATTATTTCACTGTTGTCAGCTTTATCTGTTGAAGTTATTGAACGAAATGAATTAAATGGGATGCAATATAGTATTATCAGATTGCAATCATTTTTAGAATGGAAGAGACTGGGATGACTTGCAAAAGTACAAACTGTCAGTCTGTCCTGCAGAGGAGTCTCTATTTTAACAGAAATTGAAATAGTATCCAAACAAAGTTTGACTTATTGACAATATTGAAATTGAAATAGTATCCAAACAAAGTTTGACTGATTTTTTGCATATTTTTAATTTAACATCTTTTAGACCAGGGGGATATGTTCTTGAAATTGATTTTATATTAAATATTTAGATAATAGCTATATCTTACAGATAGTCATCTAACACAGTGTTGAAATTACTTAACTAGCAAGTTGCTATTAAAGGCCAACTAAGATTTCTTTAGCACAAAATCTGAAACGTCGGTATTTATACTGATACTTTGAACACTGGGAGGATGAGCCAATATAGATGTGTAGAATCCATGATAATAGGTTTGGCAGGATTTGGGGATACTCTTTGAAGAAATCAAACCAAAGACTTCTAAGACAATAGAGCAGAGAGAATAGAAAGAGTTTAGCAGCTTAGCTGTTTTATTGTTTGTGTTTTTTCTGGAAATATTATCACTCACTTCATCCTGGCTACAAATAAATAAATAAATAAATCTGAGTTGACTGTATTTTTGCTACTGTTAATTTTTCCTATATTTGTTAAAAGTGGGTTAGATGGACTGGTATGAAAAAGAGGAAAGACATTCACAAGTATTTTGGGTAAAAGGAGAAGCGTGATCTGAACATGTTTGTTGGAGCCAGAAATCTTTAAGACTTACATGACCGTCTGAAAAAAGCTGCATGCTTGGTTTTTCAGCTCTCGGGCAGCCCTCTTGCTCTGTCCCTAGCACATCACTGGCAATGATAATCTCCTCAAGGAATGGTTATGAGAATGGACTGGCAGGACACTGCTTAGGTATTTCTGGACCAAACTTTCCGAGGCGATCTTTCAGTGTGTCGTGTAATGAGAGGCAAACTACTAAGTCCTTTGAATGGACTCTGATTTTTCAAAAAAATTTCTTCTGGAGTGTATCAGAATGGTAATACAAAATAATGTTAGATAGAAGTATTAGCAGTGGAACGGAAGAAATGTGATGTTTTTGATCAACTTATTTTTACCTGAAAGGAGACAACACATTGTACATAAGACGATAGATGTAATAAATATGAAGCTGATTGTATCGATAGGAAAATGAGATTATGATAGATTCTATAGCAGTAAAACTGATGTAGCTTAAAGCTGTAATAAATATTTACTATATTGTGTGTTGTCATTGGATCAATGAGACAGAATCTGGACAGGAAGTTAAATAATCCACTTACGAAATGTTTCCATTTTGTTTCCAATTCTCAGGTGTCTTACATTAGTCAAGACTGTGAAGAAATTCCAGAATTCCTAGGAAGAATATATGGACATATGGCAAAAAGGCTAGATCTTAGCTTCAACTTGTTAAGGTATGTGGTGATATGTAGGTTTTCAAGTGCAATATGGGACATCAACTCCAAAAATAGAATATTTACTCTTTTTTTAATTATTATTTTCAAATGAGAAACATACATATATGTCAGGTAAATTTAGTTTTATCAAGTGAGTGACGCTGTTTTTGTAGGCAATGTTTGTCTCCTTTTCTTGCACATTTGGAACATAAGTAACCAGGTGAGTCTGGAAATTTCTCATGTTAATGTAAATGATGCCCAGTGAAGAGCTTATGGTTTGTTCGCTGCTCAAAATGGAAAATAAGCATCATTACCTGAAGAAATGAAGAATGGGATCAAAAGTGAATTGTTCTTAACCAAAATGCAAGTAAGTGTGTGCTTCTCTCCCTTCTTTTTGTTTGTAGGTCTCTGGTTGTTACCATAAATGGTTTGTAATACTCTTTTCCCAGATGATGTGTTTTTATTGTACGATTTTATTCTTAGGCAGCTGTGTACTCAAGTGCTAAAACTAAGAATTAGTTAAATTAATTAGATAAATTCTAATTATTTTAATACATGGATCAATTTAGAATTCCGTAGTATTCCCATTAGTTATTACAGTTTCCTTTTTCATTTAATCCTTGTGAGAAAGCCTGGTGAGGTTCACCAGTCTATCTTTCAGGTTGGCAGCTCTGTAGGGAGGAAGGAATGGAGCGTAGTTGTCTGTTTAAGAAAAACAGTTTTTCAGTGGTGGGGTTGAACTCTTGAGTTTTCCTTTTATTTTATTGAGAGTGAGTTTAGAGTCAGCTTGTAAGGAGTGAGAGAAATAAAAGCAGTGTGCTGGGGCCTTGTTCTCTAAGGGTGACAACCACTGGCTTTAACTTAATATTCATAAATGTTATCCTGAGCCACTGTCAGCTCTGAACATCTGATTCCTACATGCCAGAGCCAGCAGAGCAAAAGAGGTGGTAAACAATCTGTGGATTGTTATTGTCTTATACTTCTGGCTGATGACTTTGGACCTATGGAAAGTGTAATCAGAAGAGAGAATTTTTCTGTGGAAGAGAATTAAATAGGCATTTTTTCATTTTGTCACTATGATAATTCAAGTTCTGCATGTATATTCAGATTCAACATGCCATCAACAAGATGCTCCTTGATACCTATGAAGAGTCTTCTTCTGGGAAAAAAAAACAGCAAAGAGTTTCATTCAATGCATGACTTGAGGAATAGTTCCTCTGAGTTTGTTTTATTTCATAAAGTAAAATGCTAAAATTAAATCTAGATGTGAAATACTACTTTAAAACTTTAAGTTATTAGTTCATGTTTTCGTGGAGAGCTTTGTTGGTGGCGTATTTCTCAAATCTGTGTTTTCATTCCTTTTTTCCTTCCCTACCCAAACCACTATCACTTATCCAATTTTTCAGACAGGATATAATTTGGTTTTTATTGGGGGGGGGAGGGAAGTGTTAAAATCTTCTGTGGGGAAATGTGAAAGAAAGTGCTAGTTTTTGTAGTAGCTGCAATCAATTGTTGATGTAGGATAGCTTGCTGTTGTAGAGCTGTACAAGTATTCTAAGGCCAGAAATCACATCTGGGGAAAGGGGAGAGGTGTTATTTTTGTTTGGCTTTGTGGGGTGTTTGGTGGTTTGCTGTTTTTTTGTTTTGGTTGTTTTTTTTCCTCTTCCTTTTTAGCTTAGGGAATCTAATGCTAAATATGATGAGAGCAGTAATGTTTTCTTATTTGAGCTGTGATAGTTATACTAAACATATAGAAACTAAGAATGAAGTATTTATTATACAGTTGCCATTCAGACTGGTCTGTGCTCTCATAGATGAGCCCTGTGCCTGTATATTAGAGAGAATCAGATAATATATAGAATAAATATCATAGTCTTAAATTCATGTGAATATAGAAGAGATGTCTTGGGCAGCTGTTGAAGCAAGTGTAAATAGTAAGATCATTGTCATCTTCTTTAAACAAATGTTATTGCTTGAGAAATCTGACCCCAGTGTAGTATAGTGATGAGTTTAATGATTTTTATCAGTGAGTGTTTAGTGTGTTGTTTTTAGTGGGGAAGAAACTAAACTTAGTCTCTTTACAAAGGAGTTTGATTTTCTAGGAAACTTGCTATCTTTTCATAAAGGCATAAGTTGAGTGAAGAAGACCAAGGGTGATCAAAATCTAGAAAAAGATAAAGAAAGTGTTGTGCTTCACTGGCACAACAATTATTTGCAGTAAATATATTAGTTTTCATTATAATATGATTCATTACTAGATGAAATTGTGTATGTGTTCTTTGAAAGAAAAAATATTTCAGTGGTCACTAATTTTTTAGCCTGTATTTAAGCCAGAGAAATGCTGAAATATTCAACAGTTACCTGTTCTCAGTGTTAGGCAGTAAATAAGTACTTAGTAACCTTTTATTAATATTGTTTTCCATCTAAGGGTTCTGTATCCTATGCTCTGTAAGTATGGCTACTGCCAAGTATTTGGGAAGGAATCATCCTCCTGTAGCAGGCAATATATTCTGCTATGTAAAAGTGTCAATACAATTTCTGACAACATAACAATTCCATTAAAAAATTTAAGAAATTGAGCATAGAGGGTGTTAGGTGCCTGGTCCGATTGTTTGGTTGTTTTTGTTTTTCTTTAATTTATTTTGTGGGCATCAGTATTTGCAGTCCTGTTATTTGATATTGCTATCATGGGTGCAGTTGCATGGAGAGAAAGAGAGAGACCTCTCTCGTAGTAATGTGTTCAGGTTTGTGGGCAGTTGGCAGCAAACTCTTCCTGCAAGACAGCGCTGGCCTTTCTGATCCAAAGTCGTGTGCAGCTGTAGACTTGCAGGCTTTGCTGTACACACACACACACACACTTATCCACATAGAGTACTCTTATCAGAAAGATGTATTTATACTGCGTGATACAGATGTCACAAAACTTTCTTATGCAACTGATATAACGTAATACTTGATCGAACAATTGCTTTAGTGAATGGTACTGATTTTGATACCACAATAATGTAGATAACTGTTGCAAAAGTCAGGTTAGAGCCAGGTAAGTCACTTTGCCATTTAAGACTTTCCACTGTAAATGTGTTTTTTCAAAGTCTTGTCCAGGTGTACTGTAAAAAAGGTGAGGAAACTGGTTGATGCTGTTAGCAAAGTGAAAAACAATTAGTCTGACATACTGTATTTCGTGATGTAGACACAAACAACTTTTGCAAAGCTTGTCCCTTAATAACATATTCCAAGTGATGCTGTTGTGCCCTTCTAGGAAATACAGCTTGTTGTTTTGTACAAACCAGCAAGGATTTTTCCCCCTGGACTTTTTTTTTTTTAAAAAAAACTTGTTTGGATATAATTTGGATAATAATTTTTTAAAAATTAGGGATATATTCTAATTTATTATTGATTGTTATGGCACTTCTGTCTCTTTTTTTCTACAAAGAAGAGTAATTGCATGGATTCAGTGTTCTTATGTGTGGTGGTTTTGCTGCTCAGATTTTGGTAAATCTACCACCACCACTTGGTTCAATAATCACAAAAAGTTGCTCTTTAAAAGAATTCTCTTTCTTGATTTTCTGAGAACTACCGTGTCTCCTCGATTACCCTGAGTGATACGTGGATCCAACTCTCCTTCTGGCAGCCAAAGCAAAGTGACTGTTACCGGTCACCTTGTCCCCTTATCTCTGGGAGGGAAAGGAAAGATAGAGGTGAATGGCAAAATGGAAGGTTTTATAGGGATGTTGGGCAGAAGAAAGTGGAGTAATAGAAATTTGTTGTGTGTGAGGCAAAGGGAAAAACTGGTGTGTGCTTAAAACATGGTAGTTGTAATCAGCAAGATAAGGTGCCACTGGATTGCTTCCTGTTTACACCTCTGGCAGATGGAAATCCTTCAACCCCAGACAACTGTAGTCCACTTGTGGATTATTTCTTCTCATGCTGTTTTTCTTGCAGATTTAGTTTGAATAGTTTCTAATGTCTTTTGTTTCCTTTTGGGACTAACGGGGGGTTGTGAAGAAGATGGAGCCAAAATCTTGTCAGAAGGATGAGAGCTGGTTGTCACCAGTTGCAACAAGGGATTTTCCAACTGTTTTTAAGGAAAGGTTTTGTGATGAGAAAGGTTGAGTGGAAGAATTGCCCAGAGAGGCTGTGGAATCTCCATCCTGGGTGATATTCGAAGCACACTGGACAAAGTCCCAAGCAACCTAATTTAACTTTGAAGTCACCCTGCTCTAAGCAGAGGACTGGACTAGATGACCTCTGGATACTCCTTCTGGCCTAAATTATGCTCTAATTCCGCAGCTTTATTGGTGTAGTCATCATAAAATGGCCTGAGTTGTAGCAGCTCTTTTGACTTGATATTGGTAGTGATTTTCAGCTATTTTAGAAATGAACTATTTACACTGTGTATTTTCAACTAGGCATGTTTCAGGAGCAGAGGTGTTTTACTTTGGAAATCTGCTCCTGAGTCTCTCATGGCAACTGTATTCGATAGCCTTCCTGATAACGGAGTGCTGTAAAGACCTCTATTTTGTTTCATAATATGCAGAAAGCATTCCCCAATTCCCGTTTAATGAAAGCACAGGGGATGGGAAGGAAAGTCACTGATGTGCCAGTGTTAGTGTTACTGGAGGGTTTTGCTGAAAAGGATTTCAAGGGGGAATGAAAAACTATTGTTGATCATTGGAAGTTAAAGATTTCATTTAAAAAACCCCAAACTAAACAACAATCACTGGTGAAGGAAAGAAAGGAATAAATAAGTAGGAAGGATGTAATGTAGGCAGGGAGTAGAGATTTGGATGAAATACAAAGGGTTTATTTTTTTTTTTTTAGATGCATCTTGCTGTCTTGGGGAGAGAAAAAAACCCAGCAAACTATTCAAAGGTTCTTTTATTTGTCTTGGATAACTTTCTTTGTGCCAAATTTCTCCTTTCATATTAAAAACTAAATGCAGTCCGGTGCTTGAATAACAGATGTCAGTGTTTTTGTACAAATAGGTGCCATGTTTTTATAAATAACATCTACAGTTG